TAAGCCTCAAGGTACAATCACACACAGAAACATACATATACACAGTCATTAGATATTAACTTATGCAGATTTTCTTATTTGGGCCACTCATTTCACCATAAGATATATATATATAATATACATGTCGCTGTTGTCGGAAGAGAACCTCGTATCTCCTAACATACTTGTAATGTAAGTCAATGGAATCAAACTTTTTTCCAAGTAATTTTGGGTCGTTTCTTTGGGTCCATTCATCATGTAATTTACAAAATCTGGAGACTGTACATAAAGCACATGCATTCATGTCATAGTATAAATTCCAAAAAAGTTGTGTAAAATGTAAATAAAAACAAAATGCAATGATGTGCAGTTCATTTAAACCCTATATTTTACTGAAAATAGTCAATATATCACATGTTGAAACTGAGAAAATTTTTTTTTTTTTTAATATTTGCTCATTTTGAATTTGATACCAACAACATGTTCCAAAAAAGGGATGGGACGGGAGCAACAAAAGGCTGGTAAATTTGTGTAATGCTACAAAAAACATTAATTGGCAACAGGTCAATAACATGATTGCGTATAAAAAAAAAGCATCCCAGAGAGTACTTTGTACTATTTCCAATGAAATATTGGGTTTAAGTGATTTGCACATGATTGCATTTTGTTTTTATTTATATTTTGCACTGCGTCCCAAATTTTTTGGAAATGGGGTTGTACTTGAGAACAATTGGTGTATTCATTTTGGTCAGTTCATTATCTGTTCCTTACTATTTATTATATTGCACTGTTTATTTATACTGTTAAATTAATATATAGAGAAAATTAAATTTGCATTTATGCTCTGTTGCTCCATTTTTTACCAACAGGTCCAGAAACACTAACACAATCTTCCAGAGAGGTGGGTACAAACCTACATCACTGTGATTTTTTTCATCTACTATTTTGTCAAATGTCACTATTTCATATAATTTTACCATTTTGTTGTTAACCCCAACACCAACCAATCAGATTCAGTCTACCAGGTTTTAAACCCTGACACTGACTAAATCTCTGCTGCAGACTAAACCTCTGCTACAGCTTAACATAATCCTGGACTCTTTCTTTAGACAGGGTAAATGTTCATTGTGGTTGTGACACCTCAAGTGTCCACACTTAATCACCTAATCATATATCATCACTTGTTTTTAAGTTTTTTTTTCTTTTTTTTTTTAATTTATAAAGACACATCATGGGACTTACAAAAACAAACAATGTTCGCTTCTAACTTAGTTTAATGTTTAGAATAATGTAACTTCATTTGTTAGCTAAATAGCTAATTTCAACATTTAACATGTATGCTACCAGAATGTCTATTTTTGCTTGTATTTTCGCTCTCAAGAAAAATAAAACAATTGTTTGATTGACTCTAAACCTAATGTATAATAGATATTTTGTGTGGTTGTATATGTGTCCATTCAGCAGTGCAGTGTATCATTTCATGTTAGTTCAAATGTCATGAATTTGACAGACCTAGATTAACTAATAACTAAGTATAAAGCCACCACTAACCAATCAGATTCAGTCAACCAGAGTCTAAACCCACCACCAGTCAATCAGATTCAGTCTACTAGGGTCTAAACCCACAATTTATCAATCTGATTCAGTCTACCAGAGTCTAAGCACACCACTAACCATTAAAGCTTATCAAAGGTTACTCATTTTGATAATACAGTTAGTGATATCAGCTGAGAACAATAACTTTATGGCTAAAAAAAGATAGAAAAATAACTTTGCAGCACATCAACACCATTGAATGTGTTCATATACAGAGAGCAGGGTGATGATGGATGAACCTGTGGAGGTTTTTCTCCACTATTATCATTGTAAACATTCATGATCCATCAGTATTCCTGTTTCTGTAGCTTTCTATTTAATCTTAAATGTTTGGAAAACAAAAAAGAATGTTTAGTCTTTCTCGAATGTTCTTAGTTACACATTTTGCTCTAGATGGCAGTAGAGGTCTTCTGACCCAGACAAGTATAGAAACAATGACAAACATGAATATTTAGCAGTGGAGTAACACCTATCAATTCACTAACAGACCTAATTTAGTGTACTTGCAAGTAAAGTAACACAAATGTATTCATGAGCAACTGTAAAGTTAAAAAGTGCAAAAACACTAGTGGTGTATACAGAAATACGTTTTTGGCCATTGAAAAAGTAGGTAGACGAACTTAATATATAACATTTCTGAACACACAGTGTCCTGCAGTGCCTTAACAACAGACCATAGCCTATTGCTGACAGCAGTGCAGTCGTCGACCTGCCTATTCTAGTGCTTCTGCTCTATTGTGATATACAACAAAAGGAAGACCTGGTACATTTCAACCAGAATACAGAATTCACAAAAACACAACCAACACTGAAGCACCTTCCCATAAAGCACATGTCCACTTTATACAAATTGTGCCTATTGAAGATGAGAGCTAAACTCAGACTGCTGAGATGTAAAGAACTAAACCCATGCATCCTAGGCTAAAGCATACTGACACAGTAGGCAAGAAAGATGGTTATGGGCCATTTATTTCTCACTTTGGGTGACTCAATTGTAAGTACCAAATTCACAGACCATTGAAGACATTTCTTAATTTGTTTCTGGGTTTGGAAATGGGACAAAAACATCATACTGTACTAAAACAAGAACAGGATATCACTTTTACGTGTCCTCCAGGTACATCTTTTTGGCCACAGCTGATTTTTCAAATTTAAACACCATGTTAAAAAGTAATTGAAAACTTGAGGAAAGGGTGCATAGCTACCGTTGCTAAGAAGTGATTGCTGGGATTAGAAAATAAAGTGGAGCTTGAGATCGGTCGATTGGACTATACACCTCATAGTCAGAAGTGATGCAGAGAACATAATGATTTGATTGAACAGAAAACCATGACAGCAAAGACAGAAAACAAATTAAATTTCACTGTCTTAAAAATGCAGCTCAATATATAATCTTTCCCCATTTGTTTGGTCAGGCCTGTGATCAGTGTGTAGGCCTAGGCTTACCCAGGCCTACATGTGGCTGCCCCTCTGGTACACACTTCAAACAAGCTAAAGGCCAATGAGTTAAAACATGAAGTGCTATAAAAGCTGCTTCAACACAATGGAAAGCCACTGTTTACTGTAACAGATTTCTTTGAAAGCATTTTAGTGTATTTTCATTGAAACTTTGCTCATATTTGACACATCCTCTTACTGAGAGGTCTGCAGCTCTCTTTGTTGTGGTCAGTAAGGGAAGTGGGCATAATGTCAGTTTCTCTTTAAGATGCACTTGAAGATACAGCACAGAGTCAGAGTCAGACAGATATGAATTAGCTCATGAAACAGATAGAGATGGCACTGATCCAATACTAGATATCAACCTGGGTCAATATCAGCAGAAATGCTGAAACGGATACAGAAGAAAAAAGAATGAATCTGATTTAATCTTATTACAGATCCCGCAATATCACACACTCACTTTAGGTATATATTTATATATAAAGTAAGTATATTTCAAAATATGTTATTTCTAAATAAAATTCTATTAAATTGTGTTTCTTTTAATTTAAGATTGTAAGTCACCTCCTAAGCCGCTTATCCTTCTGGGTCACAGGGGGAGCTGGAGCCTATTCCAGCAGTCATTGTGTGGAGGGCAGGATACACCCTGGTAAGGTCACCAGTTCATCGCAACAACATATACATTCACACACACAGAGGAGCAATTTAGCATCTCCAGTTGTCCTAACTGCATGTCTTTGGACTGTGGGAAACCCACAGACACGGGGAGAACATTCAAACTCCACACAGAAAGGACCCTGGTCACCCGGCCGGGGAGTCGAACCCAAGCCCTTCTTCCTGTGAAGTGACAGCGCTATCCACTGCGCCACCCGAGTAAAACTACAATGTGTAATTTATTATTGAAATAACCAGCTTCTTCAAATCTTCCATAATTATTCTACTTTCCTTCTAATCTATATATTACCCATGTGTAATATTCCAGCAGGACTTTTTATGATAGATTATATTCCACTTCATTCATTTGTGGCTGTTATCATGAAGTGTTACCATAATACTGTCATTTTCATAAAGGGGAACTCCACCAATTTTTGAAAAAATTCTGCATAATTAAGTGTTTGAGATGTAAACGGAGTCATTCTGAGTAGTTCGGTGTGAAGCCATTCATTTCTTTATAGTGGTGGTGATAGTTACCAGGGGTCGCCATGACTACAACACAAATATAGACATTTTGTGTACTATCCAAAAACACGAGTGAACCTACACAAGTCTTCTGAGTGTTTATACATAACATCGATGTTGGTAAAATAGTGATAAAGCTGAAAAAAAAAAATATATATATATATATATATATATATATATATATATATATATATATATATATATATATATAATTATTATTAGCCTCAGAACACACTGCATGTACCTCTCCACCATGAATGCAATAAAATAAATTCAAAAATCAATGTCTCAGACATCAGCCAATGTCATAAGCATTTCATGTCATAACTTTCTGTGAAAGTTTCTGTTAGCTTTTAAAGGTATTAAACTCTCCAAAAATCTGGTTCCTATCACCACCACTGTGAACAATTCTGACTCAGTAAGTTTCTCTAGAATAAAGCATTTTATACCAAACCACTCAATGACTTTGTTTACATCAAGCAGAAATTTTATGAAATCGGTAGGATTCCCCTTTAAATGCACTGTGCTTTACAATGTCTTGTATGGTCCATACAATTTTATATACAATAGCAGTTTGTGAAAGTGATTATATGTAATTTTAGGGGGTTTTCATTCATACAATATCTTTCTTCCTCTGTTGCTGACTGGGCACTCTAGATGGCGGTAGAGGTCTTCATTTTTATTAAACTTTGTTCTGACACATTTCACACGCTGTCTTCGAGAGAAGACCACAGCCCATCTTCACTCAGGGTCAAAAAGGGAAGTGGTCATGACATCTTTTTCTTTCACAGTCACAGAGTCACACAGAGACAGAGACAGAGGTGCGTTTCAGGGCCTCTGATAACTGTCTGAGTTGGTGTGCATCTGGGATCCTGAACTCAGAATGAAGATCCTCCTCATCTTCACCCTCTTCCTGATTTCAGGTAAGGAGATGCTCTTCTAAATAATCATCACTATCAGCAGAGTCAAATGAAGCCTTTACTCAGATGGACATTTGTCCTCTTTTAGTAGGTGGAGGAGAATCAGAGAGAGTGACAGGATATTCAGGAGGAGGAGTCCTCATCAAGTGTACATATGAGAAAAAATACACATCAAACAAAAAATATTTCTGTAAGGGTTCATCACCAAACTGTGCTGACCATATCAAGACAGGAGTTAAAAATGAGTGGATAAATAGAGGAAGATTCTCACTGTTTGATGGCACCAGAGCTGCAGAGTTCTGGGTGTTGATCAGAGAGCTCACTGTAGAGGATTCTGGACTGTACCAGTGTGGAGTTGACATAAATTGGCTGGTGGACGTCTACACACCAGTGGACCTGAATGTACACGAAGGTGAGTCTCTCCCACCATGGCACCTCTTTACTGTCCTAAATGTCCTGCATCATTAGCATCAGCTACATTGAGATTGAATGTACAAACTCATATAACGATGAAACAGCAGGAATGAGAAGGAATTGTATTAAGAACAGACCTACTCATCATATCAAAGTTATTGTGGAGTTTCTGCCTTCAGAGATTCCTTTTTAGTCTCTGCTTGTTTTATTTCTGCCCTGAAAATGCAGTTGTGTAATTTCTCATATTTGACCAAGGTTGTGTACATACAGAGCTACAATTGCTGTTTAGGAAACAGAAAGATCTTTACAAGGTTTTCTCCCAGTTTCCTCACTTTATGTAGTTTGTATGTCTGTAGTACTGAGCGCCTTTGAACTGACATGTTTAGCATCTTTCTGAATAAGAAAATGGACTACATTTATGTAAATCTGTAAAGAGTGATCTGAACATACTTTTATTTGGAGGGGTGTGGCCTCTAGAGAAACGACAGAACATGCAAAGTCGTAGAGTCAATTTGAAGAATTTTTGAACACTTCAAACATATCAGTCCTAATAAATCAGTGGCATTTTTTCATTAAAGAAAAACAGAATTACTAATGATTTACTTCACTGCTTCATGAGTTCAAACAATCAATTAATACAGCAGAATGTAACTTTTTCTGCAACTGAATTATCAGAATTTGTATTACATTGTAAAGGTTAATGCTAATATTTTCATTTAGTTGTTTATGATTGACAGATCTGTCCTATGAGAAGAGTATCAGTGTGACTGGCCATGTAGGAGGAAGTGTAAACATCAGCTGCAAATACCCACAATCCCACAGCACTGACCCCAAGTTCCTCTGTAGGAGAGTGGACACTGCTGACTGTAGTTATAAAACATCTGTTAAAGAGAGCAAAAGATGGATAAATGAGGGAAAACTGTATCTACATGATGATGGAAAGCAGATCTTCACTGTGAGCATCAACAGTCTGACTGAGGGAGACTCTGGTGAATACTGGTGTGGAGCTGAATCAGACTGGACATCTGACCATGGATACAAGGTTTATATCACACAGATCAACCTCAGAGTTACTGGTGAGTAGATCTCATTTTGAAGTACCATGTGTTCAGTTTTATGTTCAAACAATGATGCAATTCACACATCATGTTGATCATCAGGACTTACCCTGTATGTCCAGAGTGACTTTGAGAATGCCATGATTCAGTCAGTAATCCAGTTCAGAAAACCACTGTTTAGATCCTGCGTTTATGTCCATTTAAATGCCCATTTAAATCCCCACAGCAACGTGTTGGGTTTGAAACTTTCCCTCGTGTCTCAAACAGTCCTCAGATTGACTCAGACTATGAGGCTAAAACTGAGGCTAAAGGCTAGCCATGTGGTGTGCCCATGCTTCTGAGCTGAGAGAGTGGGGGAGGGGCAGGAAAAAGGCGAAAAAAGTGACAAATGCAGTGTCCCAATTCAACACGCTTAGTGCACTCTCCCTCTTTCCCTCAAAATCACACAATCAGGCTCTAAAACACATTTTAACAGGTAAATAACAATGAAAATGACAATATTATTATAAAATGTATGATATCTAGCTCAGTCTTTCAGTTTACATTGATTTTGAGTACTAAAAGTATCTGAAATTAAATATGCAACTTAATTTTCAATTAAAAATAAAGCCTTTCTTGCTGTGTATCAGAGTTTTAGCACTCAGCCTGAATCCAAGAGGACAGAAAATCAATAAAAAAACATGGCTGCCTTATGTTAATTGTTTATTTTTACTCACATTTTTACTTCTGAGGGTAGTTGTGGGCTGGAGGTTAGGGAACCAGCCTTATGACCGGAAGGACTAATAAGGGTCACTTAAAAAAGTATTTCATAATTGCAATTGTAATTGTACAGAGCTTAACTGAGGAAGTGAGAAGATCTGTGGTGTTTTTTTTCAGTCAACATTTCTGAAGCAAAAGTAAAAGCCATGATTGTCTTCATCTGTCTGCTTAGTTGAAATGTTTGCAAGCACAACTGCCACTTTCAGCATATGTTATGTGGATCAACCAGAAATGCTTACAGGTGTAAGAGAAAATAAACCACGAGCCAAATTCTGTTTATGATAATATGAATTCTGACACAAAAACATGGGGATGCACCAATACCAATTTTTCTTTTTCAATAATGATACCTGATCCTCAAGTACCGAAAACCAACACCATCTCTAGATAACTCTAGCTAATTACTTGACAGGTACTGAGTCCTGATGTTTATACTATTACTCTTCTTCAATATTGTATTTTGGTAAAAGCAGTGCTGTTTCACAAAAAAAAACATAGACGTTAGATAACTTCATGTTTAAACGATTTCAGAGCTGTTGAAAGTCAATATGGTTTATGGCAGTTTCCTTTCACCCTTTAAAATCCCAGGCTTATTACATACTAGTCAAGTCAAGTCAAGTCAAGTCAGGCCTTATTGTCATTTCCGCTCATTAAAAGCACACAGTGAAATGAAACAACATTCTTCCAGGGTCAACACAGGAACACAAGTGCGAGACAATACAATAAACACACTGCAGACAATACAGTACAATAAATAAACATGAAAGACTTGCAATAAATACAAACAGAAAACTGAACACAGGCAGAACACGGTACTGAGAGTATGAGCAACCAGAGCATCAATATACAGTAAACAGTATTCGGTTGATTCAGTAATTCTAGCAGCTAACATTGTTAAAGTGAAATAAAATGTGCAAAAATGCAGGTATTCAGATCTACAGTCATATCAAACAAAGTATTTCAGTGAAACGCAGTAACTATATTTAAATACAATGTTCCAGACATTATTTGGAACCGCAAGAAGTGGGGAGTGAGTTAGTCCGTTATTTGTTATGTAAATGTGTGTGTGGGTCCATGTGGGTGTCCTTCAGTTTAGTCCATGGGAGTTGAGGAATCTGATGGCTGATGGCCTGTAGCACATTCTGGCTGTGAGGGCCCGAATGCTGTGATACCTTATTCCAGATGGCAGAAGAGAGAACTGTTCCTGTGAGGGGTGTGTGGGGTCAGTCACAATGATAGTGGCTTTTCACGTGCAGCGTGTGGTGTAAATGTCTGTGATGGAGGGAAGAGAGACCCCGATGATCTTTTTGGCTGTCCTCTCTATTCGCTGGAGGGTCTTGCGGTCAGAGGCGGTGCAATTCCCAAACCAGGCATGATGCAGCTGCTCAGCACACTCTCTATCGTGTCTCTGTAGAAGGTGGTAAGAATGGTGGGTGGGAGATCAGCTTTCCTTAACTTAGGCAGGAAACAGAGATGCTGCTGGGCTTTCTTGGTTATGAAGCTGGCGTTCAGGGTCCAGATGAGGTTGTCCAGTAGGTGAACACCAAGGAACTTGGTGCTCGCAACAGTCTCCACAGGGGAGTTGTTGATGGTGAGTGGAGACTGTGCTCTCCTGATGTCAGACATATTTACACCAGTCTGTCAGTCACCGCACTTCCTCTCTGTATGCTGACTCTTCGTTCTTGCTGATGAGACCAACCACAGTAGTGTCATCAGCAAACTTTATGATGTGGTTGGAACTGTGAGCTGCCTCACAGTCGTAAGTCAGCAAAGTGAACAGCAGCGGACTGAGCACTCTGCTCTGGGGTGCTCAGTGCTTAATGGGATGGTGTTAAAGATGATGCTTCCGATCCGGACTGACTGAGCTCTCTCAGAAAGTCCAGGATCCAATTGCAGAGGGAAGTGTTCAGGCCCAGCAGGCTCAGCTTTTCAATGAGATGCTGAGGGTTGATGGTGTTGAATGCTGAACTGAAGTCTATGAACAGCATCCTGACATAATTGTCCTTTTTCTCATGATGAGTGAGGGCCAGGTGAAAAGTGGTGGCTATGGCAACATATGTAGAGCAGTTGGAGTGATATGTGAACTGCAGAGGGTCCAGTGAAGGAGACAGCCGGGTCTTGATGTGCCTCATTACGAGCCTCTCAAGGCACTTCATGATGATGGGCGTGAGTGCAATGGGATGATAGTCATTGAGGCAAGACACTGGAGATTTCTTAGATGTTTAGGGATGTTAAAGATGTCTGTAAGAACTCCCAGTAGCTGGTCTGCACATTCCCTGAGCACTCTGCCAGGAATGTTGTCTGGACCAGCAGCCTTAATATTCAGTAACTACAGGGAGTTCAGTGAAAACTGCCTGAACTATTTTTAGGTTATAGAAGTGTGTAATAAAAGTTTTGGCCTGCTTGTGAGCCCTGTCCATTTAAAGGGTTAAAACTGTGAATGAACATTTTTTTTACCAGATTAATCATAAAAATTACACATTTATTTCCACTAATTTCAAGAAAAAATCATTATATTTCTATATAAATTATATTTCAATACATATTCTGCTCAAACACCAATATAATAAAGCAATCTTCTCTTTTGCCAGTACTGATACTCCAATGTTAGTTCACCTAATACCTAAAAATACCTTATTTTTCCTTTAAACCTAAATGCCTAAGATGTAAATGTCTTCATCTTCATTACCAGAACAAGAACCACCAGCAACAATATCATCTCCAACATCTATATCCACTGGCAACTTTTCATTGAAGACAAATTCATCAAAAGGTACAACACACAGATAATCTACCAAACACATTTATTTCAGTTCAGTTCTTTCCTTTAAATGCAGATATTTTAGCACTGTCAAACACACATTAGTTTACTGACAATAAACCAAACATATCCTGAACTACTGAAACCACACTGTCTTCAGATTCTGCTACACACAACACACTGTACAGACAGTCCATCTGCTCATACACTGTTAGCTTGATCACTGTTAAAGTATTAGATTATTGTTTGTTATTATTTTTTATGATTATTTATTATGATTCTGTTTCTCCAACACCAGAATTCCCAGTTTCCTTTGTGATCACTGTTGTGTCTGTGATTCTGGTGTTGTTTCTGACTGGACTCTTCATTCTCACTGTGCGAAAAAGACTCAGGCCTCAAGGTACCACCACATAGAAAAACATGCACATATATGATACTACAATGATCAAAGTTATTATAATATTGTGGAAAAAAGCCACGGGGCGCACAGCCAACCAGGAGCTGGCATGTAGAGAAGAGGTGCGCACCCTAGTTAACCCTATCAACCTTGTCTTCTCAGCTTTATAACTCAGGAATGCTTTAACGCAGCAGTTCACTATGCATATCCTTAGAAACTGCGGAGTCTACCGTTTCTAAAAATAGTGGCGCCATTGCGGTCCGATGAAGCATCTGTGAGTAATCCACTGTGGAAAAACAGTAAAAATAGACGCTCCTTCAAAGTTTGTTTTATTCTTCTAGTAAAACTCAATTTCTGTGCTGAAACTCTGCATCTCGCTTTATTTCCACTACTATTATTTACTATAGGGCTTCTAAAATATTTACATGGTGTTTCAAATCTAATATCTGATTAGATGAGTCAGTATTATCGACCGAAAACGCCTTCCTTGCACCGGCGTGTTGGACACGTGCACGCACATCTAGAACTGAAGAAATACGTGCGTACCTTCAGAGTCTTTTGGCGTCCGTCCAACACCGCTGGACTGATATAGATTTCAAGTATATATTATGGTACATAGTTCTTTATTGTGTGTTTTCTAAATAAACCAGTATTTATCTGATCATTTCTGGAAGGATTCTTTATTATAGGAGTAAATGTTATTATAAGCAGTTGATAATAAACACCCAGTGTACTAAAACAGTGTTTTATACGCCGGAATATTAGCACTATTGGCCCTGAACAAAAAACTCAAAGGCTTGACCTGCTGTGTCAGTCTGTCACATGCAGTTTTAGCAACCTGCATGGATCCTTTAGGTGAGAATATCAAGAAAAATAAGTCCGCCTGATGCTACTCATATACTACGTCACAGTAATAAGCCATGTAATGAACATGATCATCATCCAACATGTCCAGTTTCATAAAAATATCAAACTTCTGTGGGCATTTACAACTCAGGTGATTACATATTTGAGAAACCACATGTCTTCTGAAAATAAAACAACATATAACATGCGCCTATCTCATATAATTACTAGACTTACAACAGCTGAAAGAGGAACTGACAAAAAAAAAATAAAAAACACACCTAATAGTGTAGGCCCCTAAGGGTTAAGAAGGTACAATTTGGGGTTGTCGTTTCGTTAGAGTGAGTGTGTGTTTCAGGTGTGTTATTGCATCAGGGTTTGGGGTTGTATGTGTGTGATGGGGGAATCACTGATAGAAGGAAGAAGTCTGATAGAAGTCTGTAACTGATGGTGATCTTCCCTGGGAGTTTTGTGTGAAGTATGTTCCTATTTAAACCTGTTGTTCATTAAAAAGCTGATTTTGGATCAGAACCATGGCTTCAGTTGAATCTTCTTTTGACTGCCGTTATGTTGGTGAGTGGGTTGGCATCCTCCAGCGAACAGGAGAAGAGCTGCACTACTTCAAACTCAAAAGGAACAGCATAAAAGAAGATGAAGAGATGCAGATGAGTATGAAGCTGAAAGCGACATGGCAGGAATTGGTGGAGCCTGGCTTGAGCCAGCTGATTAGGAACCAGTAAGCGGCAGCGGAGCCCAGCTAGAGCCATGTGAGGGAGAGCCTGCAGTGCTGTCAGTCAGGAAGCTGCTCCTGCACAGATGGAGGTGAGAGGGAGAACGGATTAGCATGTTAGTGGTGGAGCTATACATGATGGCTTAGCAGGTGTACACCGCAGTGCTGTGTAGGAGGAGCTGCTGCTGGAGTATTTCCTAAACATGCTGTGTCTGGAGAGACTGAAGCGGCAGGTGCAGCTCATGAAACTGGCTGGTCTTTGAGCGGCATTCACTGAGGCAATGACAGCGTAGCTTGACCTCAACAAGGAGACAGCAAGGCGAGCAACACAGTGCGACGTGGCAGAGGAGCTCCAGGTGGAGACGGCATACCATGTGGCCCTGAAGTGAGCGGTACACTGAATGGTATGCAGGCAATGCAGAAAAAGGGGACATTGCACCAAGCAATGCCGCAAACATAAGCTGGACAGGAAGCCCGGCTGCTCTCGCAGGCTGGAAGGTGACCACCATCTAGATCAGGTCACTGATGGCCGAGTCAACCTGAGGGGGAAGAAAACAGCTCTCTGTCTCCCAGGGGCTTCTGAGCCAAGTGCACAAGTTTTGGCTTAGATTTCCTGGTGGCGGCCAGAGCCGTGCTCAACCTCAGGAAGGAAACACTGGGCTCAGCGCCCAAAGAGCAGTCAGAGCAAGGCAGCATACCTGGAGCGGAGTGTGTTATGGAGCCGCCGTGGTGGGGAGACAGTCCTGAGGGAGAACTGGCGAAGCATGCAGCCCATGGCATTTGGGTGGAATAGGACAATGGACATTCTGAAGGCCCTGCTCTTGATGGACCATAAGGGTGGGCAGCGTGCCCTTGTGTGATGGTGATCTCCCCTGGGAGTTCTGTGTTAAGTATGCTCCTGTTTTTGCCAATTGTTCATTAAAAAGCTGTTCTCCGATGAGAACGATGGCTTCAGTTGAATTTTCTTTTGAAGGTACATAGTAAGTTACAGTATTTAATTGAAGACAGGGACTGTACTATGATGCTGGACTGATTCATATCATCACTGATTATGTTCTTGGTCTCACATTTGTGTAATGGGTTTTGCAATTTTAATATTATTATTGCTAGAACCTTATGTGTGGGTGTGAGGTAACCCGGATTTATTTGAAGTCTACAGACCAGGGCAAGAGAGAAACACTCGCACCAAGGATGCTTCAGAAAAGAGAATTTATTGGCTAAATATCAAACTACTTTTGGACTACATTCAATGATAAACAATATAAAATAAAACAAGAAAACGTGATAGTAGTGAAAGACAAAATAGCTCGAGTAAGTTAGAGTCTTTCGAGGGTCGATCTGTTCACAGATCAGTGCGTGGCTCTGGGTGCGATGCTGGGTCTCCGTGGCGTCAGAACCGCTCCCACTCCGCTGGCGAGGTTCAGGTTGCAATCAGGGTTCTGAGGCTGGTGATACTAATTTAACTAACTACCTCTCTTTAGCAGAATCGAAAGTTATGGATATATTCTCCCGAGCCAGACAAGAAATATCCACCTTCCTTCTCTGAGGGTGGTTCAAACTAAAGGTGTGTAGGCGAACAGGCAAGTTACAAACAAACAAAGGTTTCAGATCTGATAATTTAGCGTCCTAATACTTCTGACCTGTCTTTCTGACCTAGGCCGGCACAAACTTAGGAACCTGTTTGCGAACGCAGGAACTCTCCCAAATTTGCGGTACACTCTGGTTTTGCTCGGCTGGAGGCCCTACCCTTTGGAGGTGGTGCCAGAGTGCCGATAGGTTCTCTTCACCTAAGGTTCTCCAATTGGTTGTGCATAGTTTTAGGAATGCCTTCCCCAAAATCACTGCCTCCTTTGTTTCAGCTAGTTTAAACAAAGAAAAAGAACATTTCTATATCATCTAATTGGTTTAACTTTCAAAATCAAGGAATGAACAATTTAGATATTCAGGCATGTTTCTAAGAGAGAGTTTAACCCTTGTTACCTGATACACAGTACATGTCAAAGAACACAGGTACTATTTGCCATTTATCAACTCGGAATATGACCCAATGCATGAAAAAAAAAATAAAATCAACAATAAAAGGAAAGAAACAAAGGAAGAAAAGAAAAGAAAACCACATTCAGGATACATCTTGGTCAATGGTCTAAACTCATAGCAATTAACTGGTTGGGTCTGACTGTTATCAAAGTTATACTCTACGTATTTCTAGCACTTAACCATAGAAAAAGATACAGGTAATATTTAGGTACTACCCAACAACAAGATTAATACCACAAGTAGTATTACTTACAGATCATAGCAACTGTGATAATCAAGCAGACAAAGCACGAATCATCAAGCAGAATTAAGCAGACAAAGCACAAAGTTTTCTTGCTTTTTATAAGCACAAGTCCTTACGGTGGTGATGTGGTAATTTGTGGTTTCACCCCTTGGGGGTGCTGTGGGTCCATGCTTGAGATCCCTAGGGAATTTAGAAAGTTGTAATTTTGCCTCCCAGAGTCATACAAATTCCGTTTTGGTATGTCTAGTTTAGTTAAAAAGAGTTCTAACGAATGGTTGTGGTGGGGTGCAGCCTCTTGATTCAGCCGTAAATCTGACTGAGTCTAGGGTTGGGGGTATTAAGCCGACAGCTTTACGCCTCACTCCCAGACTTGCTGGAGCCAAAAGGCCCTTAACTTTTGGGTAAACACTCTGCCGGAGGTAGAGTTTCAGCCAGTGTTCGCTACATTTGTAAGACATTATTTTAATGTAGAGAATTTCATCACTGCAAACTTAAAGAAAAAAAGGCCTCAGTGGACTAACAGTGATGGACAGATGCTGCCCTCTGCTGACTATAAATGAACATGAATCAGGAGAGCTAGAGTAAGAATAGAATAGACACTATCAGGTCAATAACAGCCTGATTCTTTTTCAAATTATCTTGTATGTCCTTAATATATATTTTTTCTATTCTTAATTTATGACTGATTTAATGTAAATTGATTATTTCTCCTCAGTTGCAGCCTCAAGCAACTACATGGTGAGTCATGATTGTTTTTATGCAAACCCTCATTGGAACAGATATCCACCAGTAAAATATTTAATAATGATTCCTCAATAACTGAAACATTTAACATCATTTGCACAAAAAAAAAACCCAACAAAAAAACACTACTTTTATTATTTTACATGTTGCAGCAAGAAGTCAGTGGATAAAATCTCCAACCTTATTTTGAGCAGACTTAGGACCCAAAAGCAGATTTGGTTTCATGAGAGTTTAACAGGAGGAAGTTCCTGACTATCTCGACCAGAGGTGTCCAATCTTATCCGCAAACGGCCGCTGTGGCTGCAAGCTTTCATTGCAAACAAGCAGGAGCTCACATGATTCCACTGGTTTAATCAGTGGCTCAGCCGTCAAACAAATGATCATGTGTGGTCCTGCTTTGTTGGAATGAAAACCTGCAGCCACAGTGGCCCTTTGCGGATAAGATTGGACACCCCTGATCTAGACTCTTATGTCATTAACTTATTCTTCCATTATGTCTGATTATGTCTAGATTATGTATCTTAGGGCTATATATAAAAGGCCCTAAAACAGAGCCTTGTGGGACACCATATCGCACGTTATGTTCAGACAGCTCAAAATTGTCAAATAAGATGTAAATCAGATAAGAACTCATATGTCTAAATCAACTGTGTTTTCAAGCCTGTCCCATGAAATATCATGGTAATTTTAAAAGCTATATATCATTAAAAGCAAGTCTGTTCTGCAATCTGAGGTAAACATCAAATCACTGACCACTCTAGCCATGTTGTTTCAGAAAACCAAATTGAACAAGAATCATGCTTTTAATACTTACTTAAAAAAAAAATGTCTTTTGGACAGTAACTTTCTCCAAAATGTTAGATACAAATCAAAATATTTGGAGAGAATAGTTGCAGTTTTTTAAGTATTTGCTTGAAAACAATCTTTAATAGCCTAAAGACATGGTCCAGATACTCAATTGAGTATTGAGTTAATTATATTAACTAAAAGCTCCCCAAATTTCTGGTAAGAGTAACCGAAGAGGAAGCTGAATTATATAAAATATAAAACATAAGATTGTGATTTTAATCTTTCGTGGCATGGAGAGGATTGATGGTAGCCTGTTGCTTCATTTATGTTGCAATGTCTGTTGTTGTTCTCATTGTTTTCTATCAGGTAAGAAAATATGATCTAGAAGTAGTAAATGCCTGGTTTTAGTTTGTTAGAAACTTTTTTTTTATATAACAAGATGTGCAAAAACAAGATGCGGACCAAATGTGAAGACTTGGTGACCAGTTCTGAACCAGTCTTTGGTGTTTCTGTATGTCTACAATGTACTTACGTTGACATTAAGGAGACATTACTTGCCGACAAATCTGAAATATTTATTAGTCTATTCTTTTCACAAGTGATGGAAAACTACTAGAAACGACTTAGAAACTTTTACTATTGACACTGAAAAGTAAATTAACTCTACTCATAGATAAATTACATGACAACCTTTCCTGTCTGTTCCATTAATAATTTGGGAATAAAATTGTACATATTTACTAGTTAATCTTTACTTAGCTGAAGTTACTGCTGTTTTTTAAGTACTTAAGCAATAGTTAAGGAAACCTTAGAGATGCAGGTACAACAGTGATCACTAAATTATTACACCTATCAACAACAGTTTATTACAGCAAAGAATAATTAATTAAGAAGTACTATAGTAATGTTTACTGCTTAGTTAATAAATAGTTAAGCATTAATTAACCCCCTGGGTTCTGAGGTCATCTTTTGATTTGAATATATCTTCTTAAATTCTCCTTTAAAGTCTCTTCATATAACATGATCCTCATGTTTCATATCAAAATGCTCCGTTATCTTCATCACTACTTTCCAAAACTGCTGCAGCAGCCTCAGCAACTGTGAACTCTCTGCACGCCCTTTCACATGAGTCTCCGATGTGGACTGAATGAAGAATGAAGGGTTTCCAGTGTGATGGTCAGTTCTTAGTGATTTCCTGAGTGTCCATTGGTCAGTTTCACACAGAATGTAGACGGACACACGAATCCACCAGTTCCACATGGTGAGAGGCAGATGATGTGAATCTCAGCCCCTCTTCATAGGGTCATAACTCTGGATGCGAGTCTCATATGATCTTGTGATAAGATGGAATGGAAAGGGCGACTCGACAGATTCAGGAAACGACTGGACTGTTTTCTGTGCTGGATCATTACAAGATACAGAAATAGATAAAGAAACATTGAATTTGACACAAAGGTTAAGGAATAAGCAGTGGTTCTTATCTTATCTCAGGGTGTCCTGAGTGCTGGCTTGAAAACCACTGCTGTAAAATGTTAGTCATAGCTGTGGCACTAACAGTTTATATATTTATTATCTCTGCTTTCAGGATCCCGTTGCTGTCTATGCTAATGTTAAAGACACGAGAAAACCTCCTGACTCAGACGCTGGAGTTTCCACAGTCTACTCTTCTGTCAGTTCATCTACAAACCCCTCAGATCCTTTTCAACATGTTTATGGCAATGACCAGTTACCCACAAGCCCCTGTGAGTTTTCAGATCCCATTTATTCTAACACTCAATTACCATCAAGCTGTTTTTATAAGGATGTTTACTCCACATGTCCAGGAGTGATTTAGTGCACAGCCTGAAACCCAGGAGCCCTGAGTAATTCAGTTTTTAATGAGATTTATATCTTCACTCATCCTCACACATACACTGATGATTATGTTGTTACATGTTGTTTATATCTGTGGCTGCTGATTGGCCAGTTTTATTCTAAAC